TCTGTGATTCTGTGATTCTGTGGTAAGTTAGTGTTTGCATAATTTATGAGTAATTTATCTGGAAAAAGAAAGGAACTCTGTGACTGCCAGATGATGTGGGACTACAGACTTTGCTCCAGTCACCTCCTAGCTCAGGAGGTGAGTCCAGTCAGTAGTTACCACCTTCTCAGAAAGGGCTTAACCATGGTGTCCACACAGCAGAAAACCAGGTCCTCTGCCACTGCCAAAACAAATGCGGCCACCCAGACAGAGCCTCTAAGGAAACATGCAGCTAGCTGTCCAGGCCTCTAGCTACACTGAATGCCAGAACCTCTCACTGTTAACCAGTGATGGTGGTCAGTCTGGCTGTGTGAGGTGCAAGCAGGTGGACGACCTGCTCAGCACGGTGGTAGCACTGAGGGAGGAAGGGGAGCACTTGAAGAACATCAGGGAGGCTGAGGAACAGACAGACTGGTGGTACCATGCTCTGCTCTCCCAGAGAAAGACGCAGGAAGAACAACTGAAAAAAAAAGACATGAACAAGGGACACAGGAAGAGACAGACACAGGATACTGTAGGATCATGTAGACACACTTTGATGCATGGAAGTGCTGCTGAGCTCCCGCTTCAGCCTTGGAGTACAGAATTTTAAACCTCAAAATACCTATTTGGGCATGACAAGTACTTTTTTGAGGCATCAGAGTGATGGAACAACACCAGCTGTTTCTGCTGGCATTCCTTGTGTCTCAAGATCTGGTTTTGACCATGGGTGGAAACACCTTGTTCTTGACAAGCCCATGCAGTGAGGCCTTGCAGTGACTAGAATCGTAATGTCCAAATACACAGGTTAAACATTTCTGTGACCACTGATGCTGACATACAGTTGGGTATTCTTGGAACAAGCTCCACAGGTCATGTGAGAAACCACCTCCCTCATCCGTTCTGTAAGGCTGTGGGAGCAAAAAACTTACTTCCTATCTCTGCTATAGCAATTGGTGTCAAATACATAAGCTGCTGCACTAGGGACTAAGATTTTACTTTAGACATAAAACGTACTCTGCTCGCTGTTTTTTTCCTTCTCTCTCACTTCAAGAAGTGTGATGTAGAGTTCTGAATCCTTGTCTCTCAGAGTAAAATTCATAAATCCAACCCTTTTCTTGGATTTATGACCTGCCTGCTTTGCAGCACTGATTAGCTTATGTGCTTAGGCTTCAGTTATGACACATCCAGAAGAATTAAGAAACATACTTTTGGCAGTGAGATTTTTTTTCCTGTGTTTAGTTTTGAAGTGCAATTGCCACTCCTGAATTCTTGTGTGGGTTTATCAGAAAGTCAGGTTCTTCAGCTGTTGGTCTGCTGACCACATGCATTACACCAAAGTTCAACTGGTGATTCCAAATCAGTCTAATAAAATCCCACAGAAGAATAGTCCTTTCTGGAAGGCTGACTGAAAAACTGTTACAGGCCCATCCCATAAGGGAAGGAACATGAAATATCCGGGTATTTGAATTGCTACAGCATTACTGCTGGTTAAATTAAGAGGTGTGGCTGTGAAGAAAGGACATGATGTACTCAGAAATAATTACTAGATGCTTAGACTCAGCAATACTTCCAGGAAAGCTCTCTTGTCTATTGAATTGGACCCATGCTTGAGAAAGAAAGAGGAGCCCTTCTTAGACACTTTGACATATACATAGATGTCAAACACTCTGGAGCATTTGAGGACAGAAATGGAGGCACGCATTGTTTGATGGCCCTGCTAATTGTGGGGTTATAGTAAATGATGCTGAACTTCAGTGCTGGCATGCTGGGAAGGCAAATGTTTAGCTTGAGAGCTGAGGGGCTGAGTACTTGCAGTAAAGCTGTAAAGAACCGAAATACTTTCCTCAAAATGAAAATTTAGGTTATCAATTATTTATATATAAATGTTTTAAAATTATTATTATGAAGGAAGTATCATAGACTTGCTAGAATCGCTAGAGTGCACTGGTGAAGTCCCCACTGCCTAGGCCTAGCTTAGATGTTTCCTTTACTCATTACAATCTTGCTTCAAGTTGCCAAGAGATTTATACTGCGGCCTGTCTTAAATAGCAAGACAATTTTCATTTTACTGTTAGCAACAGATTTTGGGGGTTTGTAGCTCTCTGTGCATGTGTGCTCAGCTTTCTCATTAAATGTTTCAAAATTAAAAGGCTCGGGGCTATTAAAAGGCAGAGTTTGGATAAATGGGTATACAAACATATGCTATGACAGGCTGGGTGGAAAGGAAGTGAGTCTGTTCGGGATTTCTTGCTTGGGCTTTTTTTTTTAACCCAAGCTATTTTTTTTCATGTGGATTTGAAGCTGGAGGTGACTTCTTTCTGCACATTGTGCGTAACTGTCTTGTACATGTTGAGATGGTAGAGAATAATGCTGCCTTTCTAGTAAAGAGATAAGGTATTTTTTGTACTTGGTACTTAACAGTATGATTCGTTAACACATGTTACCCAACGATAGTTTCTTGTTTAGAAAAAAGGCTTTAAATCTACTAAGTGTGCATAGCACAGGCAAATAATCTCTGTCTGCTGATAAAATCCTCCAGAACTTGTAGCCTGAGAGGAGTCATTAGAAAGAGTTGCTAATATTTTCTCTCCAGTTTTGAGTTGGCAACAAGGGATAATGCTCTACTGAGTTCAGTCTCTTGGCTTTTCTTGCAGTAAGTGTTTCCTGGAAAGGTCTCTGGACACAGAGTAGCCTTCTTGGAAATTAGCTGTTACAGTTAAGTCAGTGCCATACTGGATAATTCTATCAGATTTCTAGAGGTCTTTTTATTTCTGTAAATGTCAGTCATTTTACCCAGAAGCAGCTTTGAATCATAATGAAACTTCCATGACCATATCTGAAGGCAATGTCAAGTAAGTCTGGTTCAGGCAATTTCATATTTCCTTATTTAAATTGATGCACACTTAAATGTGAGCTACATCAGAATATATATGTAGGCTTCAAGCAATACCTGAGGCAAATAACTCCCATCAAATAAAACAGCAATTATGAAAACAGTCACAATGACATAATTCTGGATTATTTTCTTTCTTCGGTGAAATTTAAGTAAAACTTGTATTTCTTTTATTACTTTATTAATATTTTCACAAAGAGGGACAGCAGGGTGGTAGGAGAAGTATGTAAAGTACCTTCATTGATGGTCTTAGCAGATTTTTGCTCTTCAGATTGGATGGAGATTTTACACTCCTACTCTTAAATGTGTGGGGATTTTTTTTAGAGCTTAATTATCAAACTTAAATCGTGATGGTCCTTCAGCCCTCATTACATGGATAAGCAAAACCTTCTGCAAGGCCAGCCCATGTGAACCTAATTTATGACAGATTTTGAAAGAGTTGAGGCAGTTTTAACTTTGTAAGAACAGTTTAATTCCTGTGTTTCAGCTCTGTCATGATTGAGAAACTAAGCCAGCAAGTTCTGTATGACCTTAAATGTGAGGGAAGAAGAGTTTGTACCATACCAGCTCCGTTTTCTGCTCTGAAATCCTTCAGATTTACAATTAGATGCTTATTTTGTGTAAAGAACATAGATATTTCAAAGAAAAAAACTACCCAAAATAAGCTTTATTGCAAGAAAAGTGTGGTCCTACTGATACAGACCTTCAAACAAAACTTTTTTTATTATAAACATTTGATTAAAAATGCACAGTTTTTTTTTCTTTTCAAAATCCCCAAACTCAAAAAAATAAAATAAAAGAAAAATCACTGAGTATAAATTGATATAATCTTTGGTCAGCACCGATATGCAACTGAAACAATCCAGGAGTCAGTATGTTCTTTGGCTATTTTCACATATGAGATTCTGTTACATGACTAGTTACAGGCACGAACTGTCAAAAAAGCACTATTGAGACATACACTTAACACATAATGGAACGACATTTTTAAAAAACTACTAAAGTAAACTAAATGTCAACTCATTGTACAAACATCTTCCTTACAAAATTAGCTATGATAAAATGAGGCATACGGTGTGTTAACTACAGTATTAATGAAACTTCTAAAAAACAAATGGATTTCAAATACACATTTTCCTTGTCTGCAAAGCATAATTAATTTGCACATATGGCAGTCCTGATACAGCTCTCAGTTTTTAGTAAATGCACCATTAATTCAAGCCAGCATCAAACAGTATGAAACACCCTGCGTTCCCTTCAGAGAGAGACATTTTCTTCAGCTGCCTACAGTGATGCAAGTTTGTAGAGCACCCTTTCTGAGAATGAGGTGTGGTTGCACGTGTGGTTCCTTGAGGTTATTGGAAGGAAGTACAGTACAGTTTGGTTCTGCAATTCTAATCATATTAAAAGCAGTCAAGGTATTTTGCTACAGTGGCTGTGCCTCTTCTTCCATTATTTCATGTGGCTGATTCAGAATACAATCCTATTGCGCTGTTGTGAAATATGATCTCTGCAGAGACTGATATTGTAATTCTTGTCCTTTAAAGCGCTTTTTTATCTTTTTTTTTGAATAGTCAAGTATTGCAAGAGCACTTTAGAATATTCAGAAGATGTACTACAGTGCTCTTTCAGCTCTGATACATTTAAAAATTACATATATACTATTTGGATGACTGGCCCAAATACAAAAGGAAACATCTTTCAAACCTATTTTTCTTTAATTAAGAAAGTACCTCTAAAATGCTATAGCTCAAATTTATAAATCTGAAGAAAAACAAGAAGTTTCCCTTTTTGTTTACATAATTTGTTATTTTCTCCATATATTACTGCATTAAAAATAAATAAACTTTTTTTTTGTTTTGTTTTAATTAGGAACTATAGCAAAATACCCAAAGTGTTACAGACTGCTAACAGGAAAAAAATAACTAACATTTTTGTGCCATTTAGTGCCATATGATGACTTCTTGAACTTCAGCTTTTTAATATACTTTAAATTGAGGTTATATAAAAGATACAGTAACCATTATCGCCATTGTAATAAAAGTTTTGGTGGTGGCAGAGTTTAAGTTACCCACCTGCAAAGGCAGTTCTGCAGTCTTGGCAGGATAGAAAGAAAGAGGTCTTCCCCTCTATTCCTCCCCTGAAAGTCAGTGACAGGGTCAAAGCCCTTGAAAAGCAGATATGCTCAGGTGGGTAGACAGGTGAACAGAAGTGACTGAAGAACTGGACTCAGTCTGGAAGATGGCTAGTAGAGGTCTACCCACAGCCTCATTCTGAGAGCTTCCCCAAGCTCTCCTGTGAGGTAGTTGTCCTCATTGCTGTCTTCCAGTTTCTTTAGCTCCTTGTTCTTATATAGAGGAATGCTAGTGATTTCCAGTGCATGAGTTCCAGGCACTGACTTTTTCTTTACTGTGTGCAAATAACTCAGTCCATCCCTCTGGTGGATTCGAAAGATGCCATCATTATTGCCATGTGAGATGATGTAGCGCACATGGTTGGTAAGGGGCTCAATGGCTGGCATGAGTTCTAGGATGTGCTCCTTGTTGTCAAGCCTGGAAATGTTGATTCTCATCTTCAAAGGACTATCCATGTCTAGACTTTCCAAGCTAATCTGCTCGATCTAAAGTAAAGGGGGAAAGACTGCTTAGAGCAGAGGAGAAACAGATATTCACTTGCATTGAGAGAAGAATAATATCTGATTATTAACAGTTTCTGCATTTGTCAAAATCTGTCTGTGAAAGAAGCAATTGTAAATCCTTTCCACCTGGGAGAACTGTTTGATTCCATACAATAAATACACAAAAATCTTAATGGCTTTTCACACAGGCTTAACAAGATAATTAAAGTTACAGTGTCAGGTCGACACAGGGGGTTCAGATTCCAGATTCTTTTCAGAATCTGTTTAATGTCATGCTTGCAAAAAGTCCATGTAAAGAAGAGACCTGTTTACTACTGCAATAAAGACTGAACATGAGGCACAGTCTTGTTCTTATGATCAAATTCAGTGAGGAATATTACAGAAACATATACACAACACTATGGGAATTCTCCGAAACTTCTGTTAAAACTGTTTTAAGGAATCCTGGTTTCTAAAAACAAGCAGGACTAGCATTTGGTAATGAGGAAGTACAGTGTTTATAAAAGAAATTTGAGTAAGGAGAGAACTGCTGTATTTGTCTCCTACAGAAAGGGCTATTATGTCACTTTGTCCAATTACATGCTATTTGGACCACTGAAAGGAGTGTGGAAAAAAGCCCCAGCATTATTTTTCAGACAGATCAGTCATGGGTTCTTTTTTTAATCTGAGCTTCAGTATAGTTATGCTGCAGGTGTGAATCTGTCCAGAGGCCTTTGGTGTGAATACAATTGGGGGTGGGAGTTGAGAAAGAGTGCATCCCTAGGAAAGCCATCTAACAAGCAACAGCTTCTACAAAAATACATAGGCTGCAGTCTTCTTTAGGAAACCTGATACCAAGTGAGGTACTTAGCCAACATGTCAAGATCCTTTCCCACTTGCAAAGATAACAAAGTATTTCTCTGGCTGAGGGAATTCCAATCACATGTGAGTACATAAGTTTACTAATATGTCATATAATTAAAAACACATGGTAAGAACAAAGAAAATTTGTGGACAGGAGCAAGTGCTGTAATGTTTTAAATACCATGCCCCACAGATGTCATTAGTGGTCAGATTTTTTTTTCTTTTTTTCACATAGTTTTATGGATGTGAAACCTTTCACTTTTACTGGTCAGCTAGTTCTAGTACTAGAAACTAGAAAAGGTTAATGCTATTAAAAAGTAACGGCAAGACATAATTATGAACTAGATATGAAATTAACTATGCAAAAGAAAAAATGCTTTTCAAAACTTCCATGTATTTATGTGGTGGGCTGACCACAGAATTTAGACTGGAACAGGTCCAGTGGGAGTGGTGGCAGTGAGGGAAAAGGGATGTTTGTGGGAAGTGTGGATGTGAGTGAGGAAATCAAACATTTGGATTTTAGGTGCTAACTCTATATCCTTTAGAACAGAAATTGTAGGATTACTGGCTTCTTTAGAAACTTTGCCAATACAAGAACTGGCTTTGATGGTACCATGCAAAGTAGTCTGTATTAAGGCTGGAGCTTCTGGATTGTTTTATGTCCTTACCATTTTAGAAGGGAGACTTGTTTCCCCATTCTTTAAATGTAACTTGTGTGGCTAGCACAACTTACCATTTTAGTTGAGGGTTTGCATTTTGCCTGTTTGCATTACACAGCTCTTGTACTACTGAAGGAAAATCTATGTGTGTCCCCACCTCTAAGTCAACTCAAGTTTCCCATTACTGTAGATTTCAAGACCAGAGCTAATGCTACATAACAACACCCTTTCATACAGATAATGCAGGTAACAGACTCTTTCAACTTTTGAAAAAAAGTGTCTAAAAGATATCTATAGTAGAGCTGCCCTTTCATGAGTATCCCATAACTTATTTTTATAAGCCCACAAAATGCAGTAAGAAAAAAATTTTCTGAAGTGTAATTCTCTAATGCCCTCAGCAATTCTGCAAATATCGGACTTAAGTGTGTCAGCTAGGTCACAGACTCTAGTTTCTCACAATTGTGAGCAACCATGGAAAAGACATTTACACTAAAATAATCTGCAAGAAGATCTGTTTAGCTGTCCCAGACCATAAAATGTCCAATCTCCTCATGATACCAGAGTAGACTGCAGACATGACCAGTTTCCTAGCTCTCTATAATTTTAGGATAATTATTTCCCTGAATACATTTTGAGGAACTAGACCACATCTCACACTACAAAGGATTCTTTACAAGCTTTAAAAATTTAATCTGTTCATAGCTGTTGATGTCTTTCTGATTGTCACATTGTTCCCGCCAATAGGACCCAAGTGTGAAAACTTCTGAGGCAGGGGAAAAAGATTTTCACCATTGAATGTGGCCTCCATTTACAGGTAGTTGAGTATGGTATCTCTGAAAATACCTCAAGATATATTCTAGTGTTTATTTATCCTGGTACGTACAGTGTCATTAGCACTTCTCTTCTTCCTGTTGTCTTTTTTGGAATAGCCATTGATCTTGCACTCATAACATGCTTCAGGGGACAAAGCATTCTCTTCATCAGCATTTCCATCCAGTGGCAGGTACTGGCCTTTGTTAAATCCCATCCCTGAGACACAGTGGCTGTTGAGTAAAAACATCTGGCTTAGTTACTTCTTGCAGTTTTATGAACTGTCTTGTTAAATGGAAACTGAGTGTACGTCATCTGTACTACGGTGCAAATGTGGGTCCTTTTCCTTTCCCTTCCCTCAGCAGGAGGTCTGTGCCTTAATTTTTTTCATGCTATTATGGCAGACTGAATGAAATACAACCACTGGCTGAAGGCCTATAAGCTTTTCTAATTTTCATTTACAAGTTTTACAATGAAACAGAACAAAACCAGCCTGCCCCAAACTTTGGAACTAAAGAATTTAGCCATTGTACCAGAACAATGTTAATTTGTGTTTAATGTTCTGGGTTATCAGTAGGGCTTAAAACCCATAATTATCTCAGTACAAATGGTACCTATCATCATGCAGTAACAGTCCCCATTGAACAGGTTTGGGAAGAAGTTCTTGTGCTGATACTGGGGGAGAAAGCAGAACTCATTGACGCTAATGATGAACTAATAATGTTGCTTATATACTAGATTTAAAATAAGTGTCATGTTGCAGGTACAGATCTGTCTTTTTTCCTAGCTTATGGATCTTGTGTGCAAAGGGAGTAGAAAGGATGACTTAGTAGCCTATCCTTCATTTGCACCTCTGCTCTTCAGTCTGACTAGGGTATAGCCTTCTGAAAATGTCTTTGATGAATGACTAGATTGTGTGGAGATACTCACCCTTGTCCCACTCTGTAATAGCCAGGTGGACAGCCACAAAGATAACCACCTTCAGTGTTGGAACAACCATAATTGCAGGGGTTCTTGACAGAAGAACACTCATTCACATCATGGCATGCACTGGAGAATTGGTCATACGAAAATCCAGATGGGCAGGCACACTTGTAACTTCCAAGTGTGTTGTAGCAAGAAGCAGAGCCACACATGTTTGGATTGGAGCATTCATTTTCATCTAGTAAGCAAATGAAAGTATATTGTTATCTTCGACAGACATCATGCAGGCATAATGTAGGTAACAAATCAGAATATCTGGAAGTCCTAGGTCTCTGCTACATCCTTGACCTCATTACCCTGTAAAGACTTGGTCTCTGAAGAAAAATTACATTGGCAAAGGTCCTAAACACATATATCTGGGCTGTAAAGGTCTTTTAGGATACTGTTACTGTTAACCTTATATTGACTCAGTGCTCCCCTCTCCTTCAAGGTATGTCTCCTGTTTTACTTAGGGCTGCTCTTTCCTCTGGCAGGGTACAGTCCTACCATATAAGGTCGACAGAGGAGAAATGAGGTGGAACTCCAGTCATACTCCAACCAAGATAGTGTTCCTGGGCACCTAGCAATGGGGTGAAGTTAGCACACACTTCAGGTAGTAGAAACCTGCAGGCTCTGTGAGGGGAAAAGCAATCTAAACAGCCATCCAGAATGAAAGAGAAAAGGAAGTCTTGTCTTCACCAGGTGAGAGATGAATTAAGATACAGAGAAGATCTGGTCAGTGTGACCGATTTGGCTGCGGGCTACATTGCGAAAAACAAGTGAGGAAAGTAGCTTATTGTATGGAAGATCATGCTTTTGATAGCTGGGACGAGCTGCTTATTTTATTTATCTTACCAAGGTAGTGTTTCCCTGTAGGTGGTTTCCTTTCCAATACCATTAGTGCATGCTTTAACAGTCTTGCCTGCAGTTACTAGGAGACATTCTTTTGAGGACTATCTATAATATTCAGAGACTGTAGCTTTCACTCCCACCCCAGTCCTTTGCTTTCTTTGATGTAGAGCAGTATTAAGTGAGGTGTGATGACAGTGGTTGCAAGTTCAAAAAAACTACCTGGTATGCTACTTAATGTAAAATGGATATAATAAACTAATTTATATGTCTAGGATCAGAACAGTAAGGTCAGACTATAAGAAATGTATGCAGTGCTCAGAGCCATCCTTTGATTATGATACCCTTGACAGAGAACCATGAAAGCAAACCTGAAAAGGTAATCATGTTGTGCCTTGTGAATAGCACAGGTTAGGGTTGTTTGGGTGTGTGTTGGTTTATTAAAAAAAAAATTCCCACATTTAATTTGGTATGAGAGTTAGCTTAGTTCATGAAACACAGAAATGATGGATGAGCTAAACGTACAACAAAACTGCTGAGCTGATTAATTTGTCCCTGTTCCCTGCCCAAAGAACTAATGTTGCCCTTAAGAATGTATTTGGAAGTAGCAAACCCTTAATGATGAAGTTGATGTTTGTTCTTTCCATTCACTATAGATGCTATTCTGTAGTATTGCTAATGATGGTGAGTGATTCTTACTGATGAAAGGTGGGATATTTTTTCCTTCTTTTTTTTTTTCCCCACACCAGAGGTATTTACATTGGTGCTTTCAAGAATTCAATGAACATCTTTCCACATTTCTAAGAAGGAGATTTTTCTGAAGACAAGGGAGTCAGAATTTAGGCCTTACTAGGAAAACTTCTTATCACACAAGAGTTTCAACAAGATGAATGTGTTTTCTTGTTAGCTTAAGTCATTAATTTATGCTGGGAGTAATAATTGCGTGGAAGGAGGGGGAGAGAGGAAAAAAAGATTTGTGTCTTTGTCCTGCCAATTCTTGTCCTTGCCTGGCAGTTGCCACTATAAACACCATGACACCTTTGCTGTTTAAATGTATTCTGTTCTGTTTGTTTCCTTACCAACACATTGATTCCATTGGTAATGCTGAATATATCCTTGTGGGCATCCACATCTGTATCCACCCAGGATGTTTTGACAGCCGTGCTGGCACCTATGGTTTCCATCACATTCATCCACATCTTTGCAATCAGGAGAGAAGTAGAACATAAAAGAACACAAGATTATACACGTTGCCAAATACATAATAATTGGAACACCAGTATTTATGACAGAGGAGTACTGCTGTAAGATGGAAGCACCATTCAGATTAGTCTTTTGGAAATCCTGAAAGTCAATTAACATAGTGTTCTTTCTATCAATAATCTGATTGGAGCTTTTGAGCCTTTACATTACTCATATTTGGAGAAGAAAAACTATTCCTGGTAATTCCACATGATGTCGCTTTGATGTATTGTTTAGAATTTGAATTTTTTTTATTTCAGTTTTCAAACCAACTAGTAAGGACTAAGCTTTCAGTTTCCTGGAACATGCTGAAGTGTTTCAATATGAGGAATACATGACAAATTTGGATGTCAGTCCTTACCTCTGCAATTAAAAAGAAAAAGTAATCTAAAAAGTCTCTGAGGTATGTGTAAATAAACGACAAAGACACAAAGAAAAAACAAAATGTAAAAACTCAGTAATTTGAAATAGTGTCTGCTATACAAAATAAGTAGATTGTAAGCAGCCTGATGTGTAGGTACATTAGGCAGTTCTAGTAGAAAATAAAAAATTATGCATGATATCACAGATTCTAAGTTACATTCTAGTTGTCCACAGTTTGAAACAGATTTAATGGAATTGTGATGTCCCAGAGCCTGCAGTGCAGAAAACCATCATGCTGGGAACTGAAATCTGTCATTTTATCAGTAATGGTATATAGAACAGTTCTGATGTAGTAGTCATATACCTATCTTGTGAATGCTTTGATATGTATAATTTAGTGTTTTGTTTCACAAAGGCTGGCTAAAGTACACAATAAGCACGTATCTACTGTAAGAGAGTAAAGTAATCTGACAAGAGAGAATTCTTTCTAAAACTTCTGGCTGTGTATATTCTGCACTGTTACTCTAGAATTAGGTTCTAAATATAAATTCATGATTTGAATGCTGTATCAAGGTACCTTACCTTTTTAGCTGTCATAAATTTGTGCACATATACCTTTGCATTTCTGATTCTCAGCAGCCAGATGGCCTAGTATTGCCTTTTAAGTTCTTCTTTGCTCAATATCTGAGGCTGACTGAAGAGTCTGGAGCTCTCAGATAGAGATTTCCTGACTGGGACTCCCTTTTGGGCCAACAGAGAGAGATGAAGCTCAACAATATAATTTTTATTTTAACTGCAGTGAATTACCCTTCTGAATGTGTATCTCTGTGGTAGAAGACTTAAAGTATGGAATTTAGAATCTAATCTTAGATACCCTCGGGTAGATGATTATGATTAGCTGAAACAAAAAATGTACAATGATTCTGTTTAGACTGCATGCAAATGAAAAAGAAGAAACAAATAGAGTTTTAGGTGCATAAACCTACGTGAAGTTGAAATGGCAGCCTGGAAACAGCTGTTCAGCTAAAAAGTCACTTTTTATTCTGATCTGTGTAAAGATCACTCAGGCAGCATGTTCTTACATACAATTATGCCTAAAATTACTCAAATACAGCCCTATTTCTTTTTGGTATTTACTTTTACTATGTCTGCTGCTCTGTTGTATCTGTCTTTGACATCACAGTATTCACTAGACACAGAAGTAAGGATTTGCACCATAAAAAAAATTGACGTTCACTAGTTACCTTCACAGTTTAATCCAGTAGAATCCAGAGAAAATCCTCTTTGACATTCACATGTAAAACTTCCAGGGGTGTTTTGGCAAATTCCTTTTGATCCACAAAGTGATGGCTGAGAACCACATTCATTGTTATCTTAAAAATGCAGAAGAGAGAAGAAGGTTGGTATGCCTTGTGGCATCATTTTAGACATGTTCATATAACAGTTCTTAAGAGGCTGAAATCCACAAAGGCGCAAGAGTTTATTTTGAAAATGTGGCTTTTCATATTTAAATGTCAGTTGACCTGACAACTCATGCAAAGCTATGAGCAATTAATAAATTGGAAGTGCAAGTCATACTTCAATTATGAATGTGAAAGATCCAGCTATGGTATGTAATTGCTGACAGTGGAAAAATGCTGTGCTTCTCTATTAGCTGAACTAAAATAGTTTCAGTTGTCAAGATTCATACATATGCTTGAGATCTAAAGACATCTGTATCTACTAAAAAAGAAAATGTATTCTGTTTCTGTTTAGCTACATTTTAAATCAGGTTTCCTTTGTCTCCATGTGGTTATACTTAAAATATACTAACATGTATTAAATATGTACAACTGCTTGCTAAGCAAGAAAATACAAATGGTGGATAGATGGATTTTTCTTTAGCTATAATTCTTGCTTTTCAAAATCTATTTTCTGGACTGTTGACATTGCTCTCTATTGTTACTGTTTATACAAAGCAAAAGAAACAAATGAGAATCCAGAATATTGTTTTTAAAGAAAAACTAATGCAAGAAAACTAATGTTTTTCTTACCAATACAAGCTGTGTGATGTTGTGTAAAACCAGGCGGACATTTGCATGTGAAGCCTCCAAGGGTGTTGACACAGAGAAACTGACAATTGTGTTGTTTGGTTTGACATTCATCAAGATCTGAAAGTAAGACATGATGTTGTCTTAAGAAAAGTCAACAAAAAAAGAGGTACATTTAGTCTAACTTGATAAAAATATCACACTTCAAAACTATTTGCTTTTAAGTCAAGCTGCAACAAAACTGAAAATTACTGTGTGTAACTTTTTTTACCTTTACACGTCTTTCCATCTTCTTGAAGGATGTAGCCCCGAGGACATGAGCACTGATAGCTCCCTTCTGAGTTCTTGCAGATAAAATTGCATGGTTTAGGAGACTGGGAGCACTCATCAAGATCTAAAGAGAGAAACTGTTGACTATCTGTTGTACTGATTTCTTTGATTGTCTTTGAAACAGCACTATATTTAAGAGAAAAATGTTTACAGAAAAAGTCCCTGACTTACATTTTTTCAGAGTTCCTGTTTCTTTCTCTATGGATGTGTTGCTGTGGAGTTTCTATGGAGTCACCACTACGGTGACAAACGAAGTGTCTTGAAAGAGTAATTAATAATAGAGTGACAGTGGCATTAATATTTTCATCTAAGGACTAAGTATTTCTTTTGGGGCATACTATGGTATACTTATATGTGTTAACCAACAGGTAAGTGGGGAAAATGTAAACCATGAAGTAATGAGCTGGTTTGTAAGTCAGAACAGTTATACAGCTGAAACGCATTTCAGTGCTCATTCTACTGCAGGAATATTGCCAGTACAGCTTGTTTCTTGATTTCCCCAAATGCAATAACAAAACCAGAAATACATATTAGGAAAAGAAAGACAGAAGAGATAAAAGAGATAAAGAGATGTCGTGGGTTAAAGACTGCTTAAAGTTAACTCTGTGAGGTTTTTTTTTCTCCTTCTTCTTCATAAACAGCTAGCAAGAGGCTGTGTTTTGGATTTACGCTCAGAGGAGCTGATAAGAGAATAATGTTTTGCTCTGCTGCCAAGGTCAGCAGACGAGCAAAGAGGCATAGCCGCTTGCTAGCTGGGATTTGCTCTTAGGTTAAGATTGAGAACCAGACTGACCAATGTTTTATTCCATATCATGCACATCATGCCCAGTATATAGGTAAGAATACCCGGAAGAGTGCTCTCTTTTGCCTCCGCTCCGCTTTTTGGTTTCGGTGCTTTCTCCTGGCTCCGCATTGCTCTCTTCCAAGGCCTTCGCCCCCCGCCCCCGCACACACACCCTGGTCAGCTCTCTCTCTCTCAGCCTGGGATTACCGAATCATTATCTCCGTTCCTTGAGTTTCGGGATCCTCCCTCTCTGGGGAGATCGTTATCTGTGGCCAGGTGGTCGTTTTCCCCCCTCCGGTCTGGGACGCTGGGGCTGTTATCTCCAATCTATGAGTGCCTCCAGGGCACTCACCACCCCCCCCATTTGGCGGAATCGTGAGTGTAGTTCTGGGGATCGTTAGCTAGGGCCAGGTGGTCGTTTTCCCCCCACTCCGGTTAGCTCTCAGTGTGGGACACTGGGACTGTTATCTCTGTTCTGTGAGCGCCTCTGGGAGCGGTGCACCCCCCCCGTCTGGGGAATCGTGAGTGTAATTCTGGAATTGTTAGCGAGCAACAGGCTGAGCCTTTGGTCATCGAGTTGGGGGGGCAGTATCATTGTGTGTCACTCATTCTTCCCCCTCTGCTGGAATTGCTGGCCCGGAGCGGTCTGGGTCTTTGGTTATCGGGGGAGGGGCAGTGTCACTGTGTATCACTCATTTGTATATTTGTATATAGTATTGTTTTTAATATTATTGTAGTTTATTTATTAAATTGTCCTGATCTCAACCCACGAGTCCTTTTTACCATTTAACCCTTTTATTCTCTCCCCTATCATTCGGTGGGGGTGGGAATTGTGTGAGCGGGTGTGTGTGTGGCTTGGCCCCGGGCCAAGGGCTAACCCACCACAAGAGAAAAAACTGCTTTGATACAAAGGTTTACAGAGTTTGATACATCATTACCTACCAGTTTAAAAAAATATGTGAGGATTAAGATACTGAATCTTACCAATACAAGATGTGCCACTTATGTCAGTGGTATAGCCAACTTTGCAAAAGCATCGGAAGGAGCCCATAGTGTTAATACACTGTCCATTTCTACACAGGTTTGGCATGACCTTACATTCATCAATATCTGTACAGAAAATAGAAAACAATTCATCTTTTAGTTTTAAATTCAACTTTTTCTTCTCCTTTTTTGCACAGTTCCTCATCGTAATGCTTCTGATAGGAACTTTGCCCTTTCTTTCTCTTTAAAAATGGATCTGAATTCAAAGTCAAACATCCTTCAAACTTTCATTATTGTTGTTTGAATCAAAACCTTCCTACTATTTCATTGAGTAATCAAGTTCCAGTTTTGCTAACCCATAGAAGTGAATTTTCTTATGGCCAGTTAAATGATGTAAAAAAATTGTCACCACAGTTTAAAAATGTATGTTAGCTTCTGCTTCCTGTGTGGAAATAGTAACTGCAAAGCATTCAGTGAGACTGTTATTAGAACAACTGTTGTTGCCTTTGCTATGCATGCAATTTGTCAGCATACAAAAGCTTTGGGGTCATTTCTAGCTTTTAGTTACTGGTTGGTACCTCCTGTTTAACATCCCAACCCTGAAAACTCTGCACAGCTGTGAGTATTCTAGTTGTAGCTACTGTTTAAAGGTGTTTTTAATTTCTGGTCTCTCAGCAGCATTTGAAAAATCAAACTCTGTTATTTCACAGGAAATTCCTTGAAGGAACTTCAAAGAGAATTCTGCATTGTCTTAAATATGTGAGCACATTCTTTTCCCCTTTTATGCCTCTTCTCATCCATGCAAATACCTCTTCCATCTGTAGTATAGCCTGGTCCATGTGGACACAGTTTCTTATACTGGGTGGTTCCAGGAAGCGGACAGAGCTCACACTGGTTACCCCAGCCCCGGCCTCCATCACAGCAGCACTCAGATTTAGTGACAAGATTCCGGCTGCTTGAAGCCATCTGACACATTGTCTGTAAAACTTCGGCAAAGCAAAACCCTTCGCGATTATCTGTAAGGATGAGGTAGAGAGATCAAGAAAGAGCAGGAGATAAACATCTGATCCATTAAGCATCTGATGTATTATTCTGACTGACTGTCAACACATGTAAGCACTAGAAGATTATTAGCAACTGGTCTGTGGAATCTATTCTGATTTAGCCTTCCAGATTTGTTATGTCTTCTGATTATCTGCTGCTATTCCAAGTGTACTCCAGACATCCCTAAAGTTCAGTACCCACATGAGTTGTATATGAGTTTTACTTCTAGGAAAGTTGTGCCCTGGGGCATATCTAGTGAGCTTGCTTGATAGTAAAACAGGCCGCAGGCCAAACTGGGCTTCTACTTGAGCTGCCTACGGTTGACTTGTATTTGAATGAGTTACCGGAAGTGGGGTTTGTTTGTGTGTTTCATTGGCCAAAATAGTATGTCAGATCATCTGTAATTATCCTGATGTGGTTTAAATGACAAAATCCTTGGCGCTTAAAAGTGTCTATGCAACTCAGTACTTTTTCAGTGGCAACCCTAGTTTTTGTTGGAAGGGGACCAAAGGAAAAAAAAAGATTTTTATGGCCCTAGTGTTGATCTGTCCTGTTCTCTTTGCTTTAATCTTTCAACCTTTTGGTTAATACCTGTCAATCATCTAAGAGGAGGAAAACTTCAGAATCATTAAACTCCTACAAGTTTCCTTCAAACAGGCAACTGAGTAGAGCAGAGATCCCAGCTTCCAGTGCTAATGGAAACTCTAAATTTTGCAGAGATTATATCTTCCAAATAGGCTATGTCACCTGTCTTATTTGTTAATTAAAATTGAGATACTGTCCACTATGGTCCGACAGATACTTGTGTTTAAATGAAAGATTTTATTTTTTTTTCTCTTAAAGCTAAAAGTTGAAATCCTTCAGATCCCTCAGAATGTGTACATATATCAACAACCCAGCTGACCTTCTCTTTTACAAGCATGAGGTGTAGAATCTGTACATGTCTTACATGAACCAGGTAAAATGTGAACTTTGGCTGTAGGCAAAACTTACTTTGGGTGCCCAGTCACTTAACTGTTTACATCACATAAAGCTGTCCTCACTGGAAGTGTCAGTTTTGTGAGACAGCATGTTTGCTGTAGTAATTTTCAAGACCTGGCAGATTTCTGTTCTCCTGTATAGGTATATTGTCCAGTTCTTCATGCAGATTATGACTTGAAGAACATATAATGCTTTGTCCTGAATTTCAGATGTGGAATAAATTTTAATGTGACCAGAATATAAAGGTTTGCACAATACATTTAAAATAATGTAATTAAGACTTAATGTTTGTGCTTTGATTCTGGAGAATTTCTTTGTTTCTGCCAGACTAATTTTTCATTGTAATTTCCGACCCAAGAAACTCTAAAGGAAGAGCAGCAATGAGCAAACTAACCCAAAGCATATTTTTCAGAAAATAATAAGAAAATCATATATTAAATATAAGAAAGCAATAATGACCTCCAAGCAGGGTATTTCCTTGGCATTAATGACTGGCTGGGGTTTATACAGTGTGGCATCCTCTTCCCATCTGGTCTTAATCTCTAGGAAATACCCTGTACTTCCAATGTTATTGCTTTGCCATGAAGTCAGCACAATACTGATGACAATTTACAGGGAGCTGGTTTATAGGAATTGCGTAAGATAATATGTAAGTATTTTTTATGCAAGATTACTAATAAATACTCATATAGTTTCAGTATTGTAAAACACTGTGAAGTATCTACACCTCAACACTGCTCATGAAAAAGTAAGGTTTTGCAGCTCTGTTTGTTTTCTAAAATGGGAAGAATTAATTTTATAGTGCAAATGACAAGTCTGAGCATATTGAAAAGGAAATACAGGTTGACAAATATAAAACCCTTCACCAGCACTTAATGTGCAGGCCTGCCTCAAAACTTTTTAACGTATCTTGCAGATTTCTGGTGAAATCCTAGTATTTTGTATTCATAGTCACTGTCTGAATTAAAGATACAGAAAATTCAGATGCCTAGTTGCACTATTGTGATACTTAGAGATCGCATTCTGACTATTCAAACACTTAGATTTTGCTCTGCATTCCGGTTTTTGATCCATCTATGGTAACTAAAATTTGCTGATTCTTTAAAAATACCTGTATTTTGTCTGGATAGTGTTGCTCAGCACCATATTTATGTCCTTTGGAATTTAGACTCTTCTATACGAGTCTCCTGATTGCTAGACTCAGCTGACTTTCTCAACATGCTCCTCATTTCTATCATTATTTAATATATCATATAATTTTTAATTAAT